ATGTGGCCAAAATGGAGTGAACACGGGTAGGCGATGAGGTCAGAGAGATGTGAGGTGGGGGCAGATGCAGAGGGCCAGGTGGGCCTCAGTAAGGACTTCTAACTTCATTTTGATTGACATTGAAAGTCGTTGAGGTTTTAGAGCAGAACAGTGAGAAACTCTGAGTCACGCTTTTATGGCTTTATGGAGAATAGATTGTATGCAGCAAGAATGCAAGTAGGGGCAGGGGCAGTTAAGAGCTTACTACAATTGCCCAGTTCTGCAAGTTTGGTACATTAGACTAGGATGGTACCAGTATAGGTGATAAGAAAGGTCAGATTTGGGTTATTTGTGGAGCTAAGGCTGACCAAACCTGATTGGATACGAGATATGGGGAAAAGATAGCAGTTAAACTGGCCTGAATGCATAGGACTTTGTCTTCATTCATTCATTTATTTGCTCATCCTTATCGTAGGGCCTAAATTCTGTGACCTGTGCCCAAGCCAAAACTCATGTTCAGACAAAGTAATCCCTCTTGTTCCTATATTGTTTTTTGAGTGATGTTGTTGTTGTTTTTTTAAAGATAATTTTTCCCTTTAAAGAACAAGCCACATCTATAAAAAAAACATTTTTTAAGGAAATAGAGGGAAAATCATCCTAGTTACATCTCCCTGAATCTACTACTAATATTTTCTATATTTGTTTCCTAGTACTTTGCAAGATACAAGCATATTTTTACATAATGACATCATTGAGCATAATCTATCATTTTATTGCATATTTAGCTTTGCCTTTTGTCTACATAATATTCAAAAGTAGCATTTATAATGGTTACTATTTCAATCACTATTCTGCTTGTAGCTCCTTCCAGTTCTTCCTTATTATAAGTAGCCCTGAAGGAATGTTTCTAATTTTGGATTATAATTTTACATCAAATTTTCAGATTTGGATTGTTGGGTCAAAAATAATGAATAATTTGCCTAATAATTTAAAATTCATTTAAAATATATCTATTAAATATGTGTATAAATAAGACCAAAATTAAAATGAACTTGGTGACTATGAAAATTTTTTGGAGGCCTAAACATCTAAGTTTTCAGTAAAAAATCCCAGAAGAGTAATCTTTCTCAAAATTTTTGGTTAATAGGTGAAAAGGCAGTTATTTTAAACTTCTATTACTATGGCTTTACCATTTATTTCAAAAGTAACACACTTAAAATGTTTTAGAAATATTGAAAAATGGAAGTAGGAAAAACACTTTACTCATGTTCTACTCTCAAAATCACTGATAAACTATTAGTGGGTTTCCTTCAAGTTTATTTTTTAATGCTCAGATTATTTTTATTTTTTAAAAACTTATTTCTCCTGGAGACGGAAATGGCAACCCACTCCAGTATTCTTGCCTAAGAAATACCATGGGCAGAGGATCCTGGTGGGCCACAGTCTATGGAACTCAGAAATGACTGAGCGACTATACATGCTGCAGTGTCATATCCTGGAATGGAATACAATCACAGCTTCAGGTTCCCAAGAGACAAAGTCATATTAGCTTAATTGAAGAATGTATTCCAGAGAAAGTACAGCATATCAGTTCACAGAATTTAAGAAGGTAGAGGTTGCTAATCCCAATGCCCTGAGAACACTGGTATTTCAGACTTCATGGTTGGTTCTTTGGAAGGCTGAATTGCTTAATATTTTGATTGTACCTAATGAGTCAGAAATCCAAAAACATATCCATTTTACATAAACATTAAACCCAGAGCAGCCCCCCAAAAAAAAAAATTTGTTTTCCTGCTACAAATAGTTTCACATTCCAGTTTGTTCATTTAACATCTTTCCACACAGTTTTCATGCTGCTGCTGCTAAGTTGCTCAGTCGTGTCTGACTCTGAGACCCCATAGACAGCAGCCTCCTCCATCCCTGGAATTCTTCAGGCAAGAACACTGGAGTGGGTTGCCTCCTCTATCCCTGGAATTCTTCAGGCAAGAACACTGGAGTGGGTTGCCACTTCCTTCTCCAATGCACACATGCATGCTAAGTTGCTTCAGTCGTGTCCAACTGTGTGCGACCCCATGGATAGCAGCCCACCAGGCTCCTCTGTCCACGGGATTCTCTAGGCAAGAATGCTGGAGTGGGTTGCCATTTCCTTCTCCACACAGTTTTCATAAACGTACTTAATAAAAAACTTTTCTTTCTTTCTTTCTTTTTTTTTTTTTAGCCACAGGGCTTTTGGGATCTTAGTCTCCTGACCAGAGATTGCACTTGGGCCCCCAACAGTGAAAGTTTTGAGTCCTAACCACTGGATCTCCAGGGAATTCCCATCCCAACTGACTTTTTAAATGACTGTCATGTAAATAAATAAATAAATAAATAAATGGCTGTCATGTGCTACGGAATTTACTTGGATGTTAATACAATCTGTCTTTGACTATTGTTAACCCACCCATCGGAGTTTAAGCAGGTTAACCCATCAAGCTCAGCGGTTGTTTCAGTCCTTCCTTCCTCAGCAAGCTATTAGCGTCCAATGAACAGTTTTCCCAGAAAAGAAGGCTTATAGAAGTGTCCATGCTAGACTCTCTACAGTTTCCTTAACTATCCACCTATTAATTTTGGTTTCTTTAATTCTCTTGGTGCTACATCTGTTCTTATGTAGCATTTCCAATTCATACATTGTTTTCCACTTTTAAATATACTGGTAAGTCATCATATACACGTTTTAAAATTACATATAATCTTCATCTTCTTTATTAAAGAAGCAATGTTCACTAAAGAACATTATAAAATGTACAAGGGGAAGAAAGGAATCCAAGAGCTCTCATCTAAGCACCAGCGGTAATTCCTGGCATACATCCTGGTTCTACATCTTTTGTTCTTTCTGGCCATGCTGTGCAGTATGTGGGTTGCCCGACCAGGGATCAAACCCACGCTCCTTTCAGGGGAAGCACAGATTCTTAACCCTGGACCACCAGGCAAGTCCCCTCCCCCTGCCTTTTTTTTTTTAACATATGTATATATGCCCCTTGCCGTTCACCTGCAATCATGTTATTGGTCATCAACAATTAAGACTAACCTAACTTTTCATCTTGAAGAGAAAAAAAAAGCTGCCTCCTTGAATGAAAGTTTCATATTGTAAAGTTTTTCCCAAAGGGATGCAGAAAGCCTCACCTGTTCAGTTCAGGGAAGGGACAGGACAAAGTGAGAGGAGGCTGATGCTGGATGTCAAAGAAATGGAAAGAACCAGTCAAGGTCGAAGAGGAAGGACGGCTCAGAGGCCCTGGGTCCTCAGCTGCTGCTGCCTCTCATCTTGCATCTGGCCTCGTGCCGGACACCAGTGACACCACCCCCACCCTCCTCCTCCGCCCTGCCCTTGAGGAGGCAGACGCTAAGACAGGGTGAGCCTGAACCCCCGCTCCTGTGAGACTCAGGCTGGTACTGAGCGATCCCTTAAGCTCCTCATGACCAGCGTGGTTTCAGGGAACTTCCTTGTGTTCGGGAGACATTCTCACTTCAGTAAAAGATCGAAGAAATCTCTTGCCACAGGAATACACAATTTGAATAGTTTACTTATGTTCAATGTTCCATGAAATACTGAAACTGTGTAGAAACTGTATGCTTCATATTTATATTCTACCTTGTAAAACATTATCATTTGTGCTGGTAAAAAATGGGTTTTGATGTAATTTAAGATTGAAATCTTACTCCTGACTTTCCTACTTACTAATTGTGGAAACTTCATTAAGAAATTTAATTCTCTGAGCTTCAATTTCTTTAGATGAAATGACGCTAATAGTTCCCAACTGCAAATGTAAGTCTTAAATGAAATGATATATTTTAAATGACTAATTGAGTGCCAGCAGATAGTTTTCTTTTAAACCTTTATTTCTTATCACAACCATAATGGTGTCTCCTGTGTATTTGTTGCAACTGAGTTAAATAGATTAATATATATAAACATGAGTTTAAACCCTTTGCCAGCATAGGCATCTGAGAATTTTTGCAAAGGAGAAAGAAATCGCCTTGGTCCTTCAGTCACAAAATGGTACTTAGCACTACCACTCACATATGAGTACCCCAGGTTACGGGGTCTCCTCGGGTGCATGGCAAAGGAAAGAAAGTGTCTGAGAATCTCAGAGTGCCCAGTAGGACCCAGATCTAGGAATTTTCCCATGTGTTGCCTGAGACCCTGCACTACCAGATTGACACAGGAGTTTGCATTAGCCGTCAACTCCAGGGACTCTCAATATAAATCTGGCTGAGGCAGATAATTTGAGAAAGAAAGAGAAGAGAAATAATTGTCCTGCATCATCCTTGAATGAACTTAGGGTCCAAGAGGAGAAAGAGTATTAAGCATTAAAAGTTGCTCACAATTTTTTTATGATGAGTTAGCAATGATGGGTCATCCTCTAATGATAGGTTAACAGTGAGAATATTATTTCTGGAACAGTGTATTTTGAAATTTTTCTCTTTACTTTTTATTTTACCTCTTGTCACTAAAAGAAGAGCTTCATACTCACATTGCCAGCAAAATTCAGGGCACTGCCTGGCTGGTCTTATCTATAGACACGGGAAGAGAGAAAATGAGGTGATTTCAGAAAGATGATACCCTGTGCCTAAAAATATCCTCCTGCCCCTGAAATTCTATTTCAGAAGCTCCTTGTAAAACGCCTAGTACTAGCACATATGTATTAATTGGTCAATATGTGATGGCTATTTCTATTATCATATAATATATATAAAATTACATATTGTGTTTACTTTTTTTTTTTTTTTGACCATGCTGCAAGCATGCAGGATCTTAATTCTCCAACCAGTGGTTGAACCTGTGCCTCTTGCAGTGGAATCTCCATGTCTTAGCCACTGGACTGCCAGGAAATTCCCTATTTTTATCTTTACAGTTTTGTGTCTTGGAAGAGAAGTACTTTAAGATGTTTAAGATCACATTATTCTGCTCAGAACCCTCCAGTGACTTCTCATCTGCTCTAAAATGAAAATTTAAAAAAATTTTACAGTTACCGCCTTACCCCCAAGGACCCGTATCACCTGATCGCCAGCTCCACGCTTGGCCTCACATTCTGCCATGCTGTCCCTACGTACTCTACCGCTGCTATGCCAGCCTTGTACCTCAACAGCCAAGGCACACTCCCACCTCAGGGCTTTCGCATTTGATCTTCCTGGACTTAAACCCTAGACTCCCTCATCTCACATCCTGCAAGTTCTTCACTCAACTGTCATCTTCTCAATGACACCAACCCTTCCTGGCTTTATTTTTCTCCATAGAATGTGTCATAATCCAAAATAGTGTATATGTGTTTCTACATTGATTGCTGTCTCCTTCCACTAGTGCATTAAGTTCAACAAGGGCAGAGATATATTTTATTGCTGATGCTTAGCCATTGATAGCTGCACAGTAAATATTTGCTGAAAGAATAAATGAATGAATCATATATGGTGCCATTTGAAATGAATTATCTAAGAAAATATTTTAGTAGAAGTATAATCTTGAGAGGAGGCATGAGACTCAGATGGGACATCCAAGGAGGTAAAGAGCACAGAACACAACAGTCTTGGAGATCAAAAGATAAACTCATCTACTTGATCAGTTTGCAGAAAGTCAAGCCTCTTTGGTGGGCCAGAAACAATACTGCATTAATATAGGCAACTGAAGAAAACCTAAACCTCATTTCAGAAATTCCACTGTATTAAAACCCTTTTATGGACTTCCCTGGTGGTCCCATAGCTAAAACTCTATGCTCTCAATGCAGGGGATCTGGGTTCCATCCCTGGTCAGGGAACTAGGTCCCACATGCTGTAATTAAGAGTTTCCATACCACAGCTAAAAAAAATCTTCAGGCCTCAACTAAAGATCTTGGATGCTGCAACTAAAAAAAAAAAAAAACAATAAATAAATAAATCACCCTTTTGTGATCATTTCTCATTCATGTTAATAGATCTCTCCTTTTCCTCTAAGAGCATTAGAGCCAAAAAAGAAAAATTACTTCAAGGGCCTGGAAGGGAATGACTTAACTAAATATAGCCACATCGTACTGTAAGAAATAAAGACTGTGTAAGTCTGCCAAAATAAGATGCTGTCAACAAGGAACACATTCTGTTGTTCCTCATTTCAACCTTGAGATGGGAAAGTTTAAGAAACTAAGATTTGCAATTCTCTATTTTCATATAATAATTAGAAATTTAAAATGATTTTGTATTTGGACCATCTTTTCCAAGTGTGAACTGGATATTAAAAGGCAGAGGCTACGTGACTCCAGACAAAAATACACTGTATCATATTGGGAGCCATGTATGCCTTCCCAGCTGCTGTAGGAACATTTGTCATGTGGTGACAACATTCTTCTCACTTCTGATAGCACGCACACTCTCACACCAGTACCCAGGGCCTCTTCAAGTCTCTGTCTCTGTGAAGTCAATTTTCAAGAATGCTTTGAGATTAGAACAATGTGAGAAAGGTCTTAAGCTCCCTCCTAGTTTTTCAAGCTATTTCAAAGGTACGTATAGGATCAGCAGAGACAACATTTCAGTGATACAGTTTGGGGTTGGAGGTGTAGTGAAAACAAACACTTCTGCCCGGCACAGGGTCTCATAGCCTTAGGATTAAACACCAGCTTTGGATGCCAACTAAAGCAGAGTCGTCCAAAACTTGCTCTGGAAAACTTTTAATTATAACTCTCTTTCTTGGCATAGGTAAGTTATGAAGCAGTGATGGAGTGAAAGGCTATTTAGAGGATGGTGTTCTTTTTTTACTTAGACATCTTAGGGGAAGAGAAATTAAGTATAAATAGAGAGGGAGTATGTTGGAAGCAGACAATAGGTTACCCCAGATGGGAATATGATGTGGGGCATAAGCAAGTAGAAGCAGCCAGATGATTGCAGAAAATGTGTTGTATGAGATAATAATACACTTCCATGTATAATCATGAGATAGTCATGAGAACAGTGGTCCTCAAAGTGTGGTCCTTGGACCAGTGGCATCTATATCATCTGGGAACTTGTTTCAGCTGTAGAGTGTCAGTCCCACCCCAGACCTACTGAATCAGAAACCCTGCGGGTAGAACCCAACAAGTTTACCCAGCCCCTCAAGGAGTCTGCTGCTACACACTCAAGTTTGAGAACCACTGAACTAGTGAATCTCGGGCCCTGTGCAGGAGTTCTGCCACGTTAATGAGCTTCAGGGTCATCACCTGGTGATAGATCACAGGCTCTAACGCCATGTTCACACTAGGCTTTTCATCAGGCCTTGTGGAAGAAAGGAAAGGAGGGAAGGGAGGACTGTATTCATACATCTCAAAGAAGCAGAACTTAACAATTTCCATCTTTCCTCTCACATGTCTTGGTGTTTGTTATACTCAAGCAAATTTACAAAGAGATATAAACTACTATGTATAACAAATAACAAGGACATATTGTACAGCACAGGAAAACAGGATTATTTTACAATGACTTTAAATGGAGTATAATCTATATAAATATGGACCATATTGTACACCTGAAACTAATAAAATATAACAACCATACCTCAATTGGGAAAAAAACAAATTTACAGAAAAATTCATCTCTAACACCATTTAAACTGTATGAAGTGGGTATGCATAACATTTTGCTTAGTTGAAATCAGTGTATATGCATTATTTTTGCAATATGAATTTGATTTTTTATTTATGCTTTTACCTTTATCTATTAAGGATATGAGGCTACCGCTTCTTTTTCACTTGATTTATGTACACACTCCCATGTATCAGTTTAGCCAATATCCTTTTCATTTTTATACTTTATAATCTTTCTTGTGTTTCCTTTTCAGTGGCTTAAAAATAGAAAATAACTAACTCTGATTTTTATGACAAACAGTGGCAAGAGCATTTGAATCTCCTGCAGAAAGTGCTACCATGTGCTAAATTCAATTCAAATAACAAAGAAAAAAAGAATCCGTCCCAGTTCTGCAGACAACAGTCACCTGAAGTAATCTAAGGAAATTAGTGAGAAGCACCACAGTACTTAAGTGATTAGAGAATACACAGTAAAGAAGTGATCAGAATGGGAATGCTCCCTGGAGAAAATGAAGTTCTGGATCAGCATCGGGAGGAAGTGATAGATCTGGACTGGCAGAGAGTAGGACAGTCATTCTAGGTTTACAGAATGGCCTTTCCAAAGGCTCAAAGAGAGGAACTAGCAAGTCATATGCTGGGTGCTATTTGCCAATTAACTTGGCTCACGAAGAAGGTCATGTTAGGGAATAACAGAAGTTGAGGTTGGAGAGCTGACAGTAAGCCCAGAATGCTAAACTGAGAGATACGGTAACTAGTAAACAGGGACTCTTGATAGATTTATAATGAGTCAGTGATGTGATAAAAACAATTAAAAAAAAAGGTTGACATCCGAAATGAATGCTGATACAGAAGTAAAATCCATAGGTTTATGTTGTTGGCAATATAAGGCATTTACAGCAGGAATTGTTGTGAATAAGACATAATTATTTTCACTATTGTGTCTCTCTCCTTTTATTTCTACACTTAATCTGCTTTATAACTCTCCTATTCCCCCAGCATGACTATGTAAACTAATTCTCATGTAAGTCAGATATGACTTAGCAACCAAACAACAACAAATTTGGGCTGGAAAAAAATCTCTAACACCAAATTTCTATCATGCAAAAGTAGTTCAGGTTTTTTGGAACTGCTAACATTGTATTTCTGAACTACATTTCTGAACCTCTGCTTGCCTTCAGCTGTGAAGGCTGTACCACTTTACCTTAGTTAAACCAGTGAAGTCTCTGCTTGCTGCATCCTTTGCGTACAGTGTTAGTTTCATTTAAAACTTGAGTTTCACCATCTTTAACTGGAGCAGCAACAAAGCTGGAAATAGCTCTTAAAAATCTTGATATTTTAGAAATGTCAAAGATATTAAATAGGAGGGAAAATGTGATGATATACTGTCCAGTACCAATCTTGAGTTTTATTTTTCTTTTTGATAGTCTACATGCATAAGAAGGCATCTATAATTGAGCTCTGATTGTTCACTCTGGGGTCCATCTACATCAAGAGTACCATGGTGAATTTAAATCAAGAGCAGGTTTGATGAATAATAAATCGGTGTAAGAATTTTGCTAAGCCTTCACAGCCTGGAGGTGACAATTTCAAAGAGAAACTTTTCCAAACCAGTTTAGGATTCTAAGAGCTAGGGAGAACAAAGTATTTAAAAAGCAGAACTCATGGTCTTCATTCAATACATGTTAAGGGTCAGCACTAACTTTTAGCCAAAATTATATAGAAATGAGATTTTGTTTTGGGAAAGTAAGTCACTGGGATGGTGAGAAAAGAAGTGTAAGGATTTCCTCATTGATAAAAACCAATGAAAATCACTAGGTAGCTTCCTGGCCAGCAGACACCCATCATTCTTGATTTTCTTCCCTCTTGTCACTATTTTAGTTCCTCTTGTGTGCCTATGGGCACATCAAATATGATGGAGTCATAAAATATGTATGTTGACCTTGAAAAGCAAAGCATACATGCTCAGAAAGGAGAAAGGGAGAAAAAGAAAGAGAGAAGAAAAGGAAAGAGGGGGAGAGGATTGAGAGTGTGACAATTTCATTAGTATGGAAAAGCCTCCTTAATTGGGAAATGGGAATATGCTCTTCCCTGACTTCTTTTTCCACAATCTTGAGTGTGATTATAAAGCTACACTTCAGCGTGCTTTAGCATTTACGGATTCATTTGTCACATGACACAACCCTCATATACGTTAGTGTTCACCTGTTGGAAGAGGGACTGCTTCTAAGAGTGGTAGAAAATGGACTCGGTTGAGTTTAAAGAACAAGCTTTTCCAGTACATTTGGGGGATTTTTTTACCCCAGGATACATTTGACTATTTGTGGTATTTCTATGATTAGTTTTTAATTTCTTTTATTAATTTTCTTTTATTATCTTGATATACATTCTTCTATACCTAATTTGTTGAGAATTTTATTGTGAAAGGATGTTGAATTTTGGTAAATTCTTTTTCTGCATATTTTGAGGTGACCAACATCTCTTTTTTGATGCTTCCTATGTACCAGGTGCAGATCTAGG